GTTTACTTTTGAAATAAAAATGTATTAATGAAGACATTCGATTTTATGTAGCTAAAATTTGTATTTATCTTTGAAATAAAATCCTCTTGCCAAATAAAGATAGTCCCAGCCTTATTCCAGCATGCTTGACATGAAATTGAAATGATCTCATTTATTTCATAATTCCCTACTGCAAGAAGAAAGAACTGTCTAGAAATTACCAGCAATCCATAAGGTTTTGAATGCCAAATTTAATTTCCCATATGTGATTATGTGCCACAGACACTGTGCCTCATTTATGTAGCTCAGACATAGTAGATACGCAACACATGAATAGTAAACTCCATATTGTATGAGGAAATCAGAGGGATGTTATTGTAACATCTAAAAGTTACAGAGAAAAACCAATTCTGTGCTAAAGCAGAATTTTCATCAGATATCCTTAACCTCAGTGTTCTCTTCTGTCAACCCTACACTGCTTGAAACAACACAAAGACCAATCTGACTCCCTTCTGCTGCACGAAACGTTATCCAAGCAGCTGCAGGCAGTTCAAGGGAGGAGAGAACATCATAAATGTTATCAATTGCACTGATCAACATACCAGCAGATTAAGTATGTTTGTAGTTAAAATCATGGATAGAGTTGCACTTAATGTGTTTACTTCAGGAACTGCAGACAAAGAATAAAAAACCTATGCAGCCCCTTGCAACTCCACTTTCGTTTTGCTAAGAGGAAATCTCCTTGCTGTTACAAGCTGACGTGGAACAACACCAGTGTAGGACAGAAAAACCTTGAATGGGCCTACTTCAAAATTAGCCTTCTGTGTGTATGATCCTCCCAGATTCTCCACTCTCTGGCTAGGTGGACACATTCTCAACTTTCCCATAATAGGTCTTTTTTTTTTAAATGTTTTTATATAAATTCCAGTTAGTTAACATGAGGAAACTAATATTAGTTTCAGGTGTGCCGTTTAGTGATTCAACACTTAACACCGGATGTTCATCACAAGTGCACACCTTAATCCCCATCACCTTTTTAACCCATCCCCCCACCCATCTCCCCTCTGGTAACCATGAATTTCTTCTCGATAGTTAAGAGTCTGTGTCTTGGTTTCTCTCTCCTTTTTTCTATGATCATTTGTTTTGTCTCATAATCCTTTTAACATAGCATTTAACACACCAGTTTGTATTTTCATAAATAAAAGTGAATAATAACAACCTCCTCACAGTGATATTCAAATGGATAAATGTGGTAAAGCTTGACCACAGTGACACAAATAAGGCAGTCCGTGAAATCTGGTTTTCTGGACCCTGTTGCTATGGGACAGTGGATTCTCTGGAGGCCAAACAGCAGCCGCCACGACCCAGATGCTGATACCTGCTTCCCTATCCCCACTCTGTGTCTTAGGCTAAGACTCCCCCAGGCAGAGACTTCCTAGTAAACCTGGAAACCAAGGGAAGGGAGAGGAGAGCACAGAGGGAGAACCATATCTCTGCTCACTACTCAGTGCATTCAGACTACAGGCCTGGCTCCCACTTGAAAGCTAAGGTACTCAGAAAACTCCAAATACCTTCAAGAATCGGAAGAACCAAGTACCTGTGTACTTTCAAGTAGTCAGATTCTGAATTGTTATTGGAAACAATGGCACCAAGACTGGGAACCTGGCCAAATGGAGAATGAGGACTTCAATTTCCCCTGAGGTGGCATAGTGTAAGAATTTACTATATTGCTGATGAGTGTCCATGAAGAGCATTGGGTTTCCCAAGTTAGGTGTCTGCGAGAGAGGGAGTCACAGGCTCCCTGAAACAGGCTCCAGGCTCTGAGCTAGCTGTCAGCACAGAGCCTAAGGCTCCCTTTTTAAACATAAACTTTCCCCCCAAAATATTTTCTATTAAGATAAATGCTTATGTCTTTATAATGGTAAGTAGCTTATTTGGGGTTCTAACCAGGAAGAACTTAAAATGACTGTCAAATTTTTTTATAAATTGTTCTAAAGTCTTTTTTTGTTTCAGGAGTCAAGAGTGAACAATTCTATTTAAGAAAATTTCTATGAGAATTTTAAAATGGAATATATCAGGCCTATCAAATTTTATTCTGAGATCCTAGAAACTATATGTGCTATAGGCAACTGAATAAATGCTCAAGAGAAAAGTTTAGTCTTCTTTTTAAGAACCCTCTTCAACATTTGCCAAGTTGGTAGTTTAATTCATTTTAAAAATGTTCTTTTATAGTAATTATCAATCATGGATACTTTAAAATTATAGAAGGCAAAAAAGAAAACCTGCAGTGTGGTCCTCAAAGGAGAGGCTAGGGGAAGACAGAGGTGCTAGAATCCAGCAAATATGGTCTGTAGCTGTCAGTGCAGATCCCAGAGGATCCTCTTTTCCCCTCTCTCTGCCCCACCCCAGCGTGCACATTCTCAAAAATAAATAAAACTGGGGCACCTGGGTGGCTCCGTCGGTTAAGCGTCTGACTTCAGCTCAAGTCATGATCTCAGTGTCTGTGGGTTTTAGCTCTGTGACAGGCCCTGTGCTGACAGCTCAGAGCCTGAAGCCTGCTTCAGATTCTGTCTCCCTCTCTCTCTTTCTCTCTGCCCCTCCCCAGCTCGCTCACTCGCTCTCTCTCTCTCTCAAAAATAAATAAACATAAGAAAACATTTTTTAAAAAAACATTAAAGAAAAAAACTTATGGAAAGGCAACTAATATGAATGTAGTAAGTATATTGGCATTTTATTGTCTTTTTGACTTCTAAGCACACGGTTTTGGGAATGCAGACAACGCTGACTCCATCTCATTCATGCCAACTCAATGACCTTCCTGGGCTGTGTTCCAGCCCCTTGGAGGTTAATGTGTACCCTGACCGGAATACGGGAAGGCTTGTTTGATCTTCCCTAAGGTGGCGCACAGAAAACACCACTTTAGATAACGAATAGAGATGGCGGGTGCGCAGAAGTTCCCAGTTTAGATAACTACCCTTTGACTTCATCACAATGCCCCCTTGCTCTGTAAAAACTGGGGATTAAGGTCCAGACTGGGCTGAGAATAGCTGCACAATGCTGGGATTGTTCGCTTCTACTTCAGTAAGTTACCCTGGCTGACTCTGTCAATATTTTGAAGTGGCTTGCTTCCATTTTCCTCTCAAAGTAGTTTCTCAGTTTGGAAGATACTGAACTGTCCCTCCTCCACCTTCTAACAACTATAAACCCAATTTCTTCTGTAGTTATTAATGTTATGGTGAAAAAGATCTAGGACTTTACTAATAGGCAACTGAGCAGGTGAAATGAAACAAAACACTCCTATTAGGGCATTTTCCCCTTATAATAATTGAGGGTCACTCTGGACTAGAAGTATCAATGGTGGAAACTTTTCCTAACCATCAGTATTTCCCCCGTGTTACTGTCGTGTGTCTAAATATATTATAGTGAATTAAATCTCTTTATAAAGAGCTTCAATACTAAAATGTGTATATCGTTATTATTATTGCCATTATTAACTTAATGTAATCTTTATTTTTGACCACAGTAAGTTGTTCATTAAATCTCGTATTCAATATTTAGTGAGTACCTAACAAGTTCTAGGCTCTTTTCTAGGCACTGGGACTCAGTAGCGAACAAAACACATAAAAATCCTGCCCTAATTGAATTTAAATTTTAGGCCAAGTCTGGGTGACTCAGTTGGTTAAGTGTTTGACTTCAGCTCAGGTCATGATCCTGTGGTTTGTGGGTTCTAGCCCCAACCTAGGCTCTTGCTGACAGTTCAGAGCCTGTAGCCTGCTTTGGTTTCTGTGTCTCCCTCTCTCTTTGCCCCTCACCCCACTCGCTGTCTCTCTCTGTCTCTCTCTTTCTCTTGTGTGTGCGTGCTCAAAAATAAATAAACATTTAAAAAATTCTAGTTCTAAGGAAAGACAAGAATTAAATGAATTAAATAGAGTAATTAAAAATATACACCAGATGGTGGTAAAAGCTGTGGAAAAAATAGAACAGAGAGTAGGGGACAGGTCATGATTTCATGGTGGGAAGATTGAGCCTCTCATTGGGGTCCTTGCTGGGTGTGGAAGCTACTTAAGATTCTCTCTTTCTCCCTCTTCCTCTGCTCCTCTCTCTCTCTCTCTCTTTCTCTCTCTCTCATTCACAGAAAAAGAAAGAAAGAAGGAAAGAATGAAAAGAAACTAGAAGGAAGAAGTGGGGTGAGGTTTGCGTTCAGAGAAGGTGTCCATGTGAAGGTGGTTTTTGAACAAAGACTTAAATGAAGTGAGGAAGTGATAATCTAGGGGAGGAATTAGCAATCGCATAAACATATAAATGACTTAGAAATTTAAAAGAGCTTTCATTTGTTTTGAAATTAAAATATTTAGTTTTAATGGTATAAAGCATTGATGGTGCCAAAGAATGATGTAACTATCTTTTTGGACATCTGTTTGAAACATATGCAAACTATCCATATTTAAAAACTTTTATATACGGATAGGCTTTAACTCACTAAGGCTAAAGTTTAATCATAACCCTGACAAAGGTTATTTTGGAGGAAAGATAATGACAGCATGTAGAAGTGGATCCTAGCTATTTACAAAGTATGTCATTAAAATGCAAGTTTTAATGAGATGAAAGACAACATTCTGTGGATACCTGAGGAGAGAGTATTCCAGGGAGCAGAGACAGCAAGTGCAGACACTCCAAGCTGGGACTGTCTAACAAGCAACAGTGATGGCATGGAGGCTCTGAGAGAGTGAGAGCAAGCAGGCAGGAGGTGAGATCAGAGTTCGGGCTGAAGGATTAGGGCTGTGCAGCCTTATTTAAGGTTCTGGTTTTATTTGGTGAAATGGGGGGTCCCACAGGGTTTTGAGTGGAAGAATGCATAGTACGAGTCAGTCTACACAGGACCGCGCTGGCTGATGTTTTGAGATTATAAAAGGGAGAGGAGCTGAGTGGTATGTAAATCCGTAGAACTTGGGTGCAAGCACCGAGGGAATGAAAGTGTCTAGAGAAAAAAGAAGAGATCCAAAATTGAATCTCAAGCCCTCATGTTCAGAGGTGCTGGAAATGAGGAGGATTCGCCAGAGGAGAATGAGAGGGAGCAGCAGATGAAGAAGGAAAATGCTGGAAACTGCAGAAGTCAGCGTGTTCTAAGAAGGAAGAATTGATCAACCATGTGTCAAATGTTGAAAGGTGAATAAAATGAAGACTGACCACTCACCATTGGATTCACAAAAGATTACCTGTGCCGTTGATTTTGTGCTGTAATGGAGTGATAACTTAGAGTCATGGAAGAATGAGAAATCATGAACAGGAGTCAATGAACACCCAATAACTCCTGTGAAGTTGAACAATTAAGGGGAGAAGGGAAATGGGAAGAGAGCAGGGAGGGAAGTGAACTCAATAGCTTTTTAAAAAAATAGCTTCATTGAGATATAATTCAGCTACCATAAAGCTAATTTTTTGTTATATTTATTTTTCTTAGAACAAATAACAGCAAGTATTTATACTGTTGGAATTAATCCAAAAGAGGAAAGAAACCTTAGGGATGTGGACAGAGGTGAACAAATTATTGGCATTAATGTTCTTGGATGGAATCCAGAGTGTAAATGGGAGCATTGACCTTCCATGGTAACACAGAGACTTCTTGTGTGTTAACAAGAATGTGATAGCTCATATTTGCTCAGTAAAATTGAAGTAGGGTCATTAATTGAGAAGGAGGATGGAAAGGAGGCATTGGATATTGGAGAAGAGAAGAGAAAACAGACTCGAAAATATAATTGCCTGACTATCTTAAGGGCCCAGTTGGGGTAATAGATTTAAGAGAGACAAATTAGCATGACTGTATTTTTATCCTGTCACATTCATCTGCCTGGTTTAGACAGGGGAAAGAAATGAGTTTAATTTAAACCATCGTTGGGGTTTTGCCAATAAAGCAAGCACAGGGGCTCAGGGTGGAGAGGCTCAAGGGAATTAAAGGCACATGCTAGGGAATGATGATAAGAACTCACTGCAGAATGTGAGACAAGTAAGAGGGTACTTGAATTGTCGGGGGGAGTGAGGATTGATGAAATGAAGCAGAATCACAGACTGTAGGCCCCAGTGGAATCAGCAGATTCTTGGAATCTCACTGTTAGAACAAGGGACCTGGAAAGAGAAGTAGGTGGTAAGACATTAGAATGCTTGAAATTGCATTTGACTTTTTCATAATGCATTTTCCACTTGGAATCCCCCCTGGTTCTGAATGTCCAGGTTTTATGTGCTTTTCTCAGGTTCAACTCTTAAACTATCTTCTCCATGAAAAATTCCCTGATTCTCCCAGGCTAAAAGAAGGCCACCTTCCTTGGAGCTTTCATAGCATTTCACCTGAAGCCTGCTTATGGGAAAGTTCCCATCTTGCATGTATTCATAGTTACCCCAAAGTCTCAAAGTAACTTCATTTCATTCTGGTCTATGTATCTAGGCCCACTGTCGACATATAGCAGAACAATAATGTCACAATGACAATCTGAAAAATGGGCTCTCCAAGACCAAATCTCCTTCACAATGAAGTCATGTATGATTAAACAACAACAACATCATAAATGGCAGTGTTCAAATGAGTCAAAAGGGCAATGTCCCCCTTTAACTATACTTTTTTTTCTGTGTTGGAGAAAAATCCTCAATATACAGTCTTTATTTGCAAAGTATTTAAAGAGTCAGATCTGGGGTTTGGAAAAACTATAAAGTCAGTGGAAGCCAGTCTTTAGCCCCTCCAACCTCTGTTACCTCCTTTTCTGCTCATGGAGTAAGCCCCCTCCACAGCCCTCCTGAGTCTTGTTTGCCCACCCTCCAAATCCCTGCCCCATGAGGAAAACTCTGCTACTGTACTGATGTCAGATTTTAAAATGCATGGCCTTCAGTAAATGCATTATCTTAAACAGGAGAATGCATTTAAAATATTTAAACCTGTTGAATTCTGTCCCCTTTCAAAATGATAAAGGAATCAATTAGTAGACTAAGATTTGATGAGGACAGGAAGCTCATGAGTAAAAGCATTCAGTCTGTATTGGTAAAGCCCCCTGAGAATGCAGGTATCATTTATTTCCTTCAGATTAGTTGAGAACGAGTGGACAAAAGAGAAGGAAAGGGATGCTTATCCATAGTTTTCCCCTTTTCCTGGGATTTTTCTGCTTTTCTGGAGAGAGAAATTGAGAATTGTTTTCCCTTTGGTTACTGAAATCCTTTTCTTTTTTAAATTTTATTTAAGTATAGTGGACACACAATGTTATATCAGTTTAAGGTTTACAACCTAGTAATTTGACAAATTTATACGTTATGCTATGTTCCCCACAAGTGTACTGACACCATTCCTTGATGGTGATTGGGAGCAGATGAGAAAGAGGTGCATCATCAAAGCTATGGAGTTGACCCTTCTATGCTTCAGGTCCACCTTTAATTGTCAGTCATCTCTACCCTGCTCAGCATGAACTAGACCACAAGATCATGACTTGAACTTCCTGCCCCTACCCCAGAATATCTACATATATAATTCATGGGTAGTATTTTCTCTTTATTTTTGTTCTAAAACATTCTTTTTCTTTTGTTCTCATTTTCATGTCTTCTAGTTATTTACATACATGATTATAAAGTTCATGCTAAACATGAAGATCATTGGACACCATGTGTCCTCATGAGGAATAAAGCTATTACAGTAACAGTAGTACATTGTATGTCTAATTATATCTACTCCTATACTTATACCTATGTGATAATTATATACTTCTGCAAGGAAATACCTAATAATATATTGATAAGTAAAGAGTTCTTTGTTTCAAGATAGGTTAATGTTTAAAATACATTTCGTTGTTAAGGGAGAGATAATATTACAATATTTAATCACACTATTTGAGTTTCTTGAGGTATTAAGACTTTTGCAATGATTAATAGGGTACAGACAAATGTCGACCATTGGCATATTTGGTTTTTAATCCTGGGGCTTTTAGTTCCTGCCTTTGCTGTTTGCACAGGGTGGCAAGAAGGCATGGTCTGGGTTTGGCGTGAGCTGGACTCGATCCAAGAGAGAAGATGTCACAGAAATAAGACACTAAACTGACTTGGAACGGATTTCATCTTTGGCATGCTATGATATTTATCTTTGCTCTATCATCACTAACTCTACCACACCTAGCCCATGACAAGAGACAGTGGTAATGGTATAAAACCTCCAGTTACAGGGTCCCTCATGGATTTGGTTCTTCAGGATGACTGGTCCCCATTTGTAGACCCCAAATCACCACCATGAAATTGATATTTTTGTATTTGGTTGTGGCCCTTTGCATCTTCTGCAAAGGTAAGAGACTAATTTAAAGAATCATTTCAACTTTGATAGACCCATTTATATGTTTGCCTAAATGTTTAGTGTTCTCTACTTCAAATATTTTTCTCTATTGGAAAACTTTCCTTTATCTCACTAGGATAATAAGTAAGAATAGTAGGATAATAAGAAAACTAGATTTTCATCCTATTCAGGTTTTATAAGTTTAAGGAAATATTAATGAATATGTTACTCTAGATGCACAAGGTATTATTTTTTTTATTCCTTTTTTTTTATAGTTTACTTACTTTTGAGACAGAGAGAAACAGAGCATGAGCAAGGGAGGGGCAGAGAGAGAGAGGGAGACACGGAATCTGAAGCAGGCACCAGGCTCTGAGCTGTCAGCACAGAGCCCGACACGAGGCTCAAACCCACGAACTGCGAAATCATGACCTGAGCCGAAGCCGGTCGCTCAACCGACTGAGCCACCCAGGCGCCCCTAGTTTTGTTATTCATTGTTATCATAATTTATCTTTTGATGAATCTATCTTGAGCTTAAAATCCGCATTTAGACTAAAGACCCACATAGATCATTGCAATGTTTACAAATTATGAAAGTACCACCAATTAAAAGCCTGGTTTACCACAAAAAAAATTGTGTAGGAAAAAACATTTCTTAAAGTAACAAATTTTCTGGATATTTCATGAAGTCAATTAATTTCTAAAATTAACTGAAAAGTAGGACATCATTAATTGTTAATTAAAAATTGAGCAAAATGGATAAAAATCTTTAGAAACAAATGTATTTCTTGCTCTTTAGTTCTATATCTAAACAGGGAAGAAAAGCAGTAACATCTGAACATATGGGGAAAGGTCAGTAAAAGGGGAGAGATTCATTCTATATCTAAATTTAAAATCTATTTTCTAAGTTTAGGAGTAGGGTACTGTTTACTTTTTTGTGAGAAGTTAGAATGTGGTGGACTATGATTATTTGTTGTGATTAAGATAAAATATTTTTATCTTTAATCCAACTATCTGGGAAATCATCTGATGGACCATCAGAAAATGAATATTCAAGTAATGGTGACCTTCATAATCTTATATAGCACTTTGTTATACTCTGTTTCTACTTTGCATAAATGTGTTTATTTCTTAAATAGCAGTGTACAACTTATTTTCAAAGCATTTATTAAATGATATCGTATCACAGCAAAATGTCTTAAAAGGATTTAGTAAAGCATATTAAGTTCACCAGAGAATTGGAGAGAATTTCTAAAGTAAATTCTTAAATATCAATGGTAGCTTTAAGAATGATTATGAATATTTCAATAGGATTTCCATAGATTGGTGATTTTTAATGTTTATGGAGAGAGAGAGAGAGAGAGAGAGAGAGAGCAAGTGTGTGAGTGGGGAAGGTTGCAGAGAGCAAGGGAAAGAGAATCCCAAGCAGGGTCTGCACTGTCAGGGCAAAGCCCATCCTGGGGTTCAATCTCATGAACTGTGAGATGATGACCTGAGCCAAAATCAAGAGTTGGACACTTAACCAATTGAGCCATCCAGACACCCTGGTTGGTGTGTTTTTTATTTTAAGCAAAAAGAAGAGATTACATGTATTAATAAAGCCATGTTGATTCATAAGAAATACCTGGAAAATATTCTGCAGAAATTCCAATTGCCTTAGTTGAAATGAATTTTTGTTCCTTAGTCAGTGAGATCTATATTCCAAACACAGACTCCCTTTTGTTCTGTATGTTATAGAATGGTAAAGGTTTCAGGACTGGAAGTTGGTAAAGGCAGATATGTAGGAGGCATTCATGTATTCATTCAGAAGAAAAAATTATATTGTTTGAGTAACCGCAACTGTACTAAGAAAAGAAGAAAAGCAAAACAACAAAATAGTACCCTGACTTATCGGGGGGAAAAACTTCAGTGATATGAGATCTAGATCTGGCATGATATAGATATGTATATTCAAATTTATTTTTTTAATATTTATTTTTTTATTTTTATCTTTTTTAAGTTTACTTATTTTGAAAGAAAGCAAGAGACTGTGGGAGTGTGGGGAGGGGCAGAGAGAGGGAGAGACGGGGGTGGGGAGAGGAAGAGACAGAGACAGAGAGAGAGAGAGAGAGAGAGAGAGAGAGAATCCCAAGCAGGCTCCGCACCACCAGCACAGAACCCAATGCAGGATTCTACATGGGGCTGGAACTCCAGAACCAGGAGATCATGACCTGAATGGAAATCAAAAGTCAGATGCTCAACCA